TTTTTTGATGAACGTTTTTTCAACGGTATTGCTTGAGAAAGAATAGATAAGAGAACATAATCTCCTTCAGATCTTTGATATCAAGTAGATCTGGTCCATAATCAAGGGGTTGCTGTGAGTATGTCAGGTTATCTGAGTAAAATCAGGTGTATTTGGAGTTGAAGAGGGGGGGCACGAGTAAATTCTCTTGTCTTCGCCCCACTGCTGACACAGAAATAGTAGTTCCCTCAGTAGGCAGAGTGGCCATGGCCTAATCCAGTTCCCTGGCCGTGTTCCCAACCCCAGTAACAAAATGAAGCTTTTGCCATTGATTAGTCCTTTTTGGATGCGCCATGCATTTTGCTTCCATTTAGAACCCTAGGCTTATTGAGCAGAACTGGCTTTTACAATGACTTGCGAAAACCAAGCTACATACAAGTCGGTGTTTTATCTTGAAGAAAAGTCAATGGAGTCTCGCACCATTCACCTGTCCGGGGGATCAAAAGCTCGTCAGCCTTGGAAAGAGTCGATCCTGAACATGACCCCTACTTCGCTCCCGGTTAACAGCTCCACTTCCCCCTACGCGATCTCCGCCCACTAACTCCATTGTCACCGTGAAAAGATGAGGTCATATGAACTGCATTTATTTCCGTTCCGCCTGTATTGCTGTTTCAAGAATAAACATTTTCAAAAAAAATTTGCATATACCTGTAAATTCAGAAGAGCGGATAACTCTTCCACCTGCACCTCAGGTGGTTTATGTACCGATACCGGTTTCACGCAATCAAAGAAGAGCGAGGGGCCCAAGAAGTAACAGCGGTCGTGGAGTACAGCAGAATCAAGGGTAATTGTTCCTATTTCGTGGCCTGTGTTTCCTTTTCACAGTCCCATATGCATGATTTCAGGCAGCGAAATAATGTTCGAGGCGTCGTGAACCATCCATATTTCAAAAATCGTCCAGCAGGCATCGCTAGCCGCGGTGGTCGAGGTGGCCAAGTACGTGGTAGAGCAGCACCCAGAAAAAATCGCTTCGCGCCCCCACCGAAGAAGTCCTTGAGTCAGTTGGACCGTGAACTGGAAGATTACATGAGGAAGTCGAAGCACCCGAAAATTGTCATCTAATAGCCTGCATGTTGTTGCCACCACTATCATCCATTTGTTTTACACACGCGATCTTTCCCAGTAAACTCAAATCCTGTCAGCCATATCGATTGATCTGCGAAGAGGAGTTTATTTCTGCGTAACCAATTTCATAAGTCATTTCTTCGTCGGTTTTTAAGTCATTTGAGAACATCTTTATGTGAAATGATAGTTCTCTAATTGGGATTCTTTCATGTCCCATGACATTCAATGAAGAATTCTGCGGTCCTTTGCAATCACTTTCCCGTATGAGCTACCATTTTTGAACTGTTTTCTGTTGTTAAGTAGACTATACTGGTTAGGTATTGATGCGTTTTGTTAACATTGTTCAACAACTCATAAATAATTGTCCGTACGCAGGCTGTGGTTGGTGAGCCAGCGAATATGTCATACATATATCTCAGTGCCTGTGAACGTGTTTTCTCAGCGAAATTACACCCCTTTCCTCCCCCCCCCCTAAAAGTGTTGGTGCGAACGCTTTAGACTTTTACCAATCACTATCGATTTTACTTTATCTATGGGTCATTGTTTTTTATTGATCTGAGATTATTTTATTCCGTGTGTTGTTCTTTCTTTTTCTGCATATATTATTGTTGTTTTCGACTTTATTGCATTATGAAATGTTTAGAACTCGTATGTAGATTAATTAAAGTTTATTTTTCTCTTCTTCAAGAAGAAGAAAAACTCCAATACGTTGAGCAGTGTTTATGAATAGCCGTTGAAAGACATAATTATCATTCAAATGACGACAATACCACGTTGACAATCATGACTTGTTCCTTCCAAATCCATTTCAGGTCTTCTGGAACCTGAAATTAAACTAGTGACGATCGATTTAACATGAGATTGAGTAATTTGACGACTTCTGTGGCCAAGTTCTGGAATTCTCACACAGAGGCAAATCCTATGGTTGCAAATCGTGCGCAGGCAGCGTACAGACTTCGCGATAACGCGCTACCATTGAAAGCATCAGCGCGATATCTTAACGCTGCAGTAGGGCGCATCGACGCTTAGTGGGACATCGATCCTTACCGGACCTGTTGTGAAAACTTGTTAACCCTCGTAAAACTACTCACTAGCATGAGCTTGTTTATTCTTGACAAGAGTCTACAGATTTCACGTGAGATGTGCAAGGAATTAGCAAACTAGAAGAATGCCTCGCCTCCAAAGCCAAGCAGGGCTCGATTGCGGTTAGCGGGGGCTCAAGTTTAAATGGTAGTTGCTTAAAGATTAAAGTCTCGACTGAATATCCCACCAGATAGTGAATGAGGCCGCAGAGACGCCTCAGTATGGCGGCCGTACACGTACGACAAAGGGCCGAGGAATCGATAGCAACAGCCGCGCGATAGTCGTACCCTATGGCGTTTTATCCCTGGCCGAGAGACGGAGGGGGTGGGGGGGGTTGAAGTCTTTTGTACTTGCCCCTAACCCTTCCACTTTTCTCGATACGGCGAAGGCGAAGTGACACACTATGTGCTGGAGCCAAACTTGCCCCCTCCCCCCCCCCTCCCCATTCGAAAATCATCCCACACTCCTTAGAGGTAATTGCATCGGAAGAATTCTCTTTAAAATTGCATCCATCAGAAATGAAAATTTTGCTGCAGTTGTAAACGATGGTCTAGTGCCAGAACTGGGCAGGTCAGTCAGTTGCTTTTCAGATTACATCACCAAGTGGAAAATTCAGCGGCCAACCGAACTGAACCATTTATTGGTCCAAATTTCCCATGCACAACGTGGAAGAGCTTAGCAGAACAGGAAATTTTCTCCTCTCCCTTAGAAATCATCCCAGGAGAGGTAGGATACCAGGTGAGGCTTTTCTCTATAAGGCACACTCGGTGCAACAACCATCTGTGCACACAGCTGTCAGTAGCCGAAGCTCAATATTTATTCAAGTGGAATTCGGGTCCGAGTGAGAGCGATTTCCCTTTCCCGAAAACGCACATGGGGTAAAGGATCAGAACTGATCTAGGATGACCGGGAAGTTTGATCGAAGTGGGGGGAGGGTGTTCCCATCTCAACCCTGGGGCAAAACGTGTGGGAATAGATCCAAAGTACGCCTAAAAATCAAAAGAAATACCTTGTCAAGTTTCGTGATGAGAGCCTGTTTCAACTCAGTGATTATTCGTCTCAAAGTTTGACTTTCGGCTCTATCGCTTTCGTTTATGACGGCATCCTCTTCACCATTAGAATCGGCAGAATTGTCCCGTGATTTCTCCGCATATATCACTTCTCGCCATCGCTTTCTGTAGAATGGCACGATTATGTAAACATCGACCGCTTTGTCTCCTCTTACACATAAACTCACATATCTGATGGCGAAAACATAAGAATCTTCATGTTCACCCGTAATGCCCAACTCGGTCCCCCATCCGATAAGTATAATGTACTGAAAAGTGGTTATTGTAATACTGTCTAGTGGTGACATCCAATCGCAAATAAGCCCCTATTCACCGTTTACTGCCCCACTGTTCGGGGTTGAGACCAGAACTATTAATTTGTCTAGAAATTATTATAGTCTTGTTCATTCCGGATGCCGTGGCGTGTCAGACTAGAGGGGTTTGGTGCGGTGCAATCATTCCTCCCACACCTCAGAATATTGGAGCGGCTTCAACGCCCAGGATAGAATGGTTGAAAAAAAAGGGGAAGATCTCATGCCAAGATGCTGCCATGCTGCATTCGCAAGGCATGAGATCTCTAACTTTTGACGGCATTTTCGAATTTCTTGGAAATAAGTATTGTTCCCGCACAGTCCTACTGAAACTCACAAATTCGTCAAAAAAGCGACTCACCACGGCAGGCCTGCACCTTCCAGGGCTTTTTCATGAGCTGCTGATACGGTCACACCGACCTTTCTTGCCAAGGCCACAAATAATGCTGAAGCGAAAAGAGATTAGACAGAGCAAGAACGTCTCAAACTAGAGCCTCCATTACTTGATCTACAGGAGAGGAGATTGTCGAGTATAACCCCTACACATCTATACTCAAGGTAACTAGCTGTTCTCATGAAAGTTTCTGAATGAATCCTGAACAGCCTTTGACTGTTCAAGAGGAACGTATTTGCTCAGCTACGCTAGCACACAATACATGCCTAATGCTTTGGGTTGATCCAATTCTCGCTGAGATGTGTCATGTGCTCCCCCTCCAT